CAAGTAGTTTCTTAGTTTTAGCTAATTACATCCTATCCTCCTAGCTAGAGTACTTATCTGGCAGTAATCTCAAATTCCTTTCAGCCAAATTCCCCAAGATATGCTTTGTTCACGCTAGCGCATAAAACTGTTTGCTCGTTTTGTGAATCCACCTTCAAATAATTGCACAATATTATTCTCTACTGCAGCATCCAGAACTTGAAAACCTCAAAACACATAATCCCATAATTTACTGCTAAAAGAACACTAGAAGAACACATGAAAGAGATCTTTGCCTGTATTTGGACATAGCACACACATACTTGGATTAAGAACCTAGGAAGGACACTTTTGAGCTCCTTCCAGAAATAAAATCTAGCCAAAAATATTGTAATTTTTTCAATAATAGGTGTCTAAAACTAAATTTTCGAAGGATTTCCCCCAAAGGTAGAGCAAGTACGAGAAGGGAAGTCATTCAGACTTAAACCCCACTTTTTGAGCCACCTCCAGAAGACTTTCCAAGTTTAGATTTACACCAAACACTGAGGATTTGACCCAGTTCACCTGAACACTCCAAGAATCTTCAAAAATAATTTTGACCATGTTGAATACATTTTCCGTCATGGCATCATCTTTCCATAAAAGAAGTGTATCTTCCGCAAATTGTAAATGGAAATATTTATCTGTTGCAAATGGAAATATGTGTCTGGTCTTTTCCAACTGAGAAGTCCTTAAAGTCCTTTTGAAAGCTCTACGTACAAAAAGTCATACTACAGTTTTTGTTTTTTAAATGAAACAAATGTTCATTAACTTTAGATTGAGAATAAATCTCCTCCTAAAAACTCTCCTATTAATATGAATTCTAAAATGGAAAAAATAAAAATAAAAATAGAGAGTAAATTAGTAATATATAAGCTCTCTTCAAGAGGTTTCCATGCGAAAGGTAGAGGAAAAAATATTGCATCTAATCTCTACCAAAAGCCAATAGATGAACTAAATAAATCTCCTATCTCTCTCCACCCATAGGCTCCACATAACTGTACACAATAACCCAGAAAATTTTTCCTTTTCCCCTGAAGTTTGGCCAAAAAATTTTGTTGCAATAAGACTCAAGTTTCTTGATTGATTGCATCCATGCATCCTAAAAGGATCATGAAACACCCTTCTTTTCGCTAAGAAAATGTCTATAATTAAAAAAAAAATACGATCAAATGAGGCTACAAAAAGAAAAAAAAAAGGTCAAACAAAATCACTGGAGCAATAATTTGAAACAAAATTTCCAAGAAAAAGCTCAAATTTTCTAGTGATTGAATTTAAAGTAATATCATAAAAACACATAATATCTATGATTGAGAAATAATTTTGGGAAAAATACACTTTTGGTCCCTGAGGTTTGCAGTAAGTGTCTATTTGGTCCTTGAAATTTCAAAATGAACGCTTTTGGTTCCTGAAGTTTGGATTATGTGTCTATTTGGTCAATGAAATTTTAAAATGGATCTCTAAAATTTGGAAAATAGTTCTAAATAGTCCTTTGACTATTAGTTGACTCATGAAAACTATGACATGGCATTCAACTTGCTGACTAGATTTATTGATATAAGATTTTTTAATGAGTTGTCAATGGTTTTGTTTTTTTTTAGGCTTAGGTGGCATACCTCTCTCTTTCCTTCCCAACCTTCCCTTTCAATCTTTTCCTCTTCTTCCTTCTTCTCCTCCTCCGGCAAATTGCGAGGAGGAGAAGAAACCAAATTAGGGATTTTCTTGTGGTTTCGGGGTTTTGTAGGGATCTTTTCTTCTCTGTAGCATTTGATTTTGTTTTTTCTTCTGTTGGGGATTTATTAATTGGGGATCTCTGTGTGGGATTTTCCAGGCTTTTACTCAAGGTGGAGTTTGACTTTGAAGCCAAATTAAAAAAGAAAGATGGACAAACAGAACAGAAGAAGGAAGTTTGGTGTTAAAACAGGGCTCGGTTGCTTTGTGGTTTAAGGCGATTGTTTTCCTGGTGGGAGAAAATTGGATTTAGCGATCCAGAAAAACTCTCTTAATTATTTGTGGGTCTCATTGATTATAGCAGGAGGGGGAGAAAATCAAGGACCTCTGTAATTTCAAGATCTTTTAGGTTTCCATCAAGAAATTGCAGGAGAAGAAGAAACCAAAAAATGGACGAAGAGACTAATTCTTGGCTCAGGAGAACGAAATTTTCTCACACGGTTTACCTTCGATGGGATTCCTTAAGATTGAATCTTGTTCCTTTCATCGTCGAGCTCCCTCCTCTTGCCGGAGGAGAAGAAGGAAGAAGAGGAAAAGATTGAAAGTGAAGGTTGGGAAGGAAATAGCGACATATGCCACCTAAGCCCAAAAAATTTAAAATAAAAAAAAAAAGAAACCCTTGCCAATTCATTAAAAAATCTTATATCAATAAATCTAGTCAACAAGTTGAATGTCATGTCATAGTTTTCATGAGTCAACTAATAGTCAAAGGACTATTTAGAACTATTTTCCAGATTTTAGGAACCAAGAGTGTCCATTTTAAAACTTTAGGGACCAAACAGACACATAATCCAAACTTCAGGGACCAAAAGTGTTAATTTTAAAACTTCAGGGACCAAATAGACACCTACTGCAAACCTCAGGGACCAAAAGTGTATTTTTCCTAATTTTAATTAGTTAAAACCAACTAAAAAAAACTTTACCAAATAGACCCAAATAGGCAGCATGATAATGTAATCCTTCTTTGCTGTGTTCATTTCAATAAATTTCCTTTTCAATTTCTTATGGTAAGGATCTATAGTTTTTTCCAGCTGATCAAGTCGAAACAAGGAAAATGCGAGTGGGTTTCCCTTTACTCATCAAAAGCAACGAATTAAAAGAACGACCTCCGTCTAACAAAACCCTCCTCCAAATGCCACTTGGAGTTTTTGAGAATGACCTCTATTTCTCAGATATGAACTTGGGATTTTCTGAACAAAATAGAAAAGAAGGGAAGTCAAGTGAGGATGTCAGAGGAAGTCAGTGACAGCAGCGTCGACAAAGTCTACTTTAGAAGATAGACGACAAAGAAGAAATGGGGAGGAGAAGAGAGAAAAAAGGCACATCATAAAGAAAAATATAAAAAATATACACATTTTTGCTAACTCATTTAAAATTTTCATGTCAATATAACTAATCACTAATTAACTATCACGTCATCTTTCAATTACATCAATTAATGGTCAAATGTTCACGGACCTTTTTTTTCTGACAAGAAATAACTTTTTATTGACAGATGAAAAAGAAAATTGTTCAGGATACGAACATCTGAATGGTCACTAAGGTTTGAGTTGGGTATTTATTTGGTCCCTAAGGTTTCAAAAAAAGATATTTTAGTTCTTGAGGTTTGAAAAATGGTTTTTTTTTTTTTGAACAAGATACAAACTTTTTATTGATGAATGAAAAGGAACAATATTGTTCAATGATACAAACTCCCATAGGAGTGAACAAAAAAGAAATAATTAAAATAAAAGAAATAAAAAAGCCATCAACATAAAGAACCATCATTAGAGGGGAGGGGAGTTATAAATGTCTCCCAATTCATAAAAAGCATACTAGGAGAATAAGAAGAGAAGAGATCAGAACAAACACGCCATTGTGAGGCTTTGATTTGGCTATTAAGAAGCACTCTATTGGAGAAAAATTCTTGCCTTCAAAGACACTTTGATTTCTTTCGAACCACAGGAGAGCTTTTATTCCAAAAGCCCAAAGCAAATTGGCTTTAGAGCTTGCTTGCAAACCAATGAAAAGCTGTAATATAATGTGAGGTACCTCCAGACCCATTAGACTTCAAACATTGATCAGAACTTCTCCCAACAAACCTCCGCATAGCTACATGAAAAAAGACATGTCTTTGGGATTTTCCATTTGCCTTGCACATTAAACATATCGATGTCTGCATCAATGTATTAGGTATTTTCTTTTGTAACGTCTCTGAAGTGTTAACTTTGCCCATGAGAAGGATCCAAACCAAAAAGTTAACTCTCTTAGATCCATAGGATAGAGAAAATTTCCTTAGGAATATTAGAGATCGGATGCTCGGACTTACTCAACGAACGGATAGAAAATAAGCCCGGGACCTCCAAACTCCATACCCAATTATCTTCTAAATCACTGACGGAAATAGAAGA